CACCAAGTCAAGGGTTAAGATCCCCTTACCGGTCATCTTTTAAAAAAAAAAAAAAGAAATGAACTAATCTGTCAAATTTAGATAAATAAATGGGTCAGTTTTTAAGTTAAATCGAATTTAGAGCAGTAAAATCCATTCAATCGTAATAACAAATTTTTGTGTAATGTGTATCTACATTTTGCATATAGCACCCTGTTAAATTTCATATTTAGTTCTTTAAATTGCAAGTGTTTTACTGGCTATCACATTTACTACACAGATACTCCATGACTTACAATGGGGTTACGTCTGATAAACCCATCATTTAAGTTGAAAATAATTGTAAATCGAAAATGCATTTGATACATGTAATCTACCGAACGTCATAGTTTAACCTAGCCTACCTTAAATGTGCTCAGAACATTTACATCAGCCTACAGTAGGGGAAAATCATCTAACAGAAAGCCTATTTTATCATCCAGTGTTGAATATCTCCTATAATTTATTGACTACTGAAAGTGAAAAACAGAATGGTTATATAGGTACTCGAAGTACAGTTTCTACTGAATGTGTATTGCTTTCCCACCATCATAAAGTGGAAACATTGTAAATTGTAAAACATCGTAAGTCAGGGACTTTCTGTATCTGCTTATAATTATATTTAAAATATATTTTAAAAATCAAGAAATTGGGTGCAAATATGTTTGGAAGTCAGAGAGGGCCAACTGAAGACTTTTCCCTATGTGGCCTTTATATATATACACTGAAATCTTCCCCGGCTGCTGGTTTTTATTAATGGGTAGATCTAAGCTGTTTTCCCCAGAGAGAAGAGCATGGCTTTTATGATCTATTAGGTTGAAAAAAATTGCCAATATTCAATTTTTATAGTGCAAAATGGCAATTTTATATGGTTCAAACAAATAGCATTAAAAAGAAAACAGCTTTAATGAGATATTGTTCACATATCATAAAATTCACCCTTTTAAAGTATGTAATTCAGTGGTTTTTAGTATATTCACTAAATTGTGCAACCATTGTCACTACCTAATTTCAGAATGTTTTCATTACCCCAGAAAGAAACTCCCTACAGTAACTTTTCACTCATTCCCCAGTCCCCCACCCCTACCCTATCTTCAGCCCTAGGCAACCAGTAATCTACTTTGTGTCTCTGTAGATTTGCCTATTCTGGACATTGCATATAATGGAAACATTCAGACAGGCCCTTGATCTGTGGACTTTTGTGACTGGCTTCTTTCACTTAGCATGTTTTCAAAGTTTATCCATGTTGTAGCATGTATCATTACTTCATTCCTTTTTATTGCTGAGTAATAGTCCATTGTATGGATATGTTATATTTTATTTATCCATTCATCAGTTGATGGACATTTGGATTGTTTCCACTTTTTGGCTATTATGAATATTGCTGTGAACAGGTTTTATGTGAACATGTTTTTCTTTTGGGTATATACCTAGAAGTGGAATTGCTGGGTCATATGGTAACTGTTTAGCTTTTTGAGAAACTGCCAAGCTGTTTTCCAAAGTGGCTGCATCATTACTTTCTCACTAGTAGCATTATGAGGGTTCCAGGTTATCCACATTCTCACCAGTGTTGTCTTTTGTTTTAACCATCCTAGTGTGTATGAAATAGTAACTCATTATGGTTTTTGATTTGCATTTCTCTAATGATGTTGAGCATCTTTTCATGTACTTATTGGTCATTTGTATGTCCTTGAAGAAATGACTCTTCAAATCCTTTGCATATTTTTTAGTTGGGTTATTAGTATTTTATTTTTTATTCTGGATACAAATCCCTTACCAAGTATATGATTTGCAAGTATTTTTTCTTGTTCTGTAAGTTGTTTTTTTCACTTTCTTAATGGTGTCCTTTGAAGTATATTTTAATTTTGATGAAATCCTATTTTTTCTTTTGTTGCTTATGATTTTTGTGTTATACTAAGAGATCATTGCCTAATCCAAGGTCACAAAGATTTACTCCTATGTTTTCTTCTGGAAATTTTGTAGGTTTAGCTTTTACATTTAGGTCTTTGATCCGTTTTGAGTTAATTTTTGTATGTGGCATAAGTCTGTTTGGATTTGATATTCTCATCTGAGATGGGGGAAGGTGTATTTGGAGAACATTGACATACTCAGAACTCTTTATTTTCCCCACCAACCCAGTGTTCATCGTATAGTCTTGTAATCACTGGACAGGAAGAGAGTGAGATCAAGGGCCTGTCTGAATTGCATAACTAGTTTTAGCCTTTTATGGGTAGACATTCCCACTGTATTTAAATCTTAGGCATAAGCTTATAGGACTCTTGTCTCTAATGTCCTTAGGAAGCAGAAAGTTTCAAAGACATGTGTTTCTCTTTTAGAAGATAGTACATTAATGGACAGGAAGAGAGTGAGATCAAGGGCCTGTCTGAATTGCATAACTAGTTTTAGCCTTTTATGGGTAGACATTCCCACTGTATTTAAATCTTAGGCATAAGCTTATAGGACTCTTGTCTCTAATGTCCTTAGGAAGCAGAAAGTTTCAAAGACATGTGTTTCTCTTTTAGAAGATAGTACATTAATGGACAGTTTAATTCTTGCATGGGGTCTGCAGGTAACCTTTTTTTGAGTTCAGGCAAGTTTCTTTATCCTGAGTGTTATGAGGGTAGGAGAGTAGATGTTACACTACTAAGGTTATGGCTAACAAAGGGGTATATATCTTTTCTTTCTCCAGGTTCTCAGCTGCTACGGGAGTTAAAAAAGATGGATGACAAAGCCCTGTTGGTGGAAGTACAGCTTTTAGAAAGCAAAACATACCATGCCCTGAGCAACCTGCCGAAAGCCCGAGCTGCCTTAACCTCTGCTCGAACCACAGCAAATGCCATCTACTGTCCCCCTAAATTGCAGGCCACCTTGGACATGCAGTCAGGTAACACTTGTAGCTACTCCTGAAATGGGTTTTTTTAGAGCTCATCTTATCTTACAGGTGTAAGAAATGGAAGTTGAGGTTGGAGAATAAAATTGGCTGATTTGGCTCAAGCTTCCCCAAAGAAACCGAGTAGAAGGCTGCCTTTCTAACCAGCTGACCCCTCCTATTAACTGCCTAAAATATATTAAGAATATGCTTATCAGTGCTCGACCAGGCAGCCTGACTGTTAGAGCCAAACCCATGAGAAGTCTCAGGCTTAAAAGACTCCCTTAACTTTCCTGTTAGTCACTTACTCAGAATGGTAGCATTTTTCTTTCTTTTTTTTTTTTTTTTCTAAAAAGATGACCGGTAAGGGGATCTAAACCCTTGACTTGGTGTTGTCAGCACCACGCTCAGCCAGTGAGCAACCGGCCATCCCTATATGGGATCCAAACCCGGGGCCTTGGTGTTGTCAGCACCACACTCTACCGAGTGAGCCATGGGCCGGCCCTAGCATTTTTCTTTAAGACTGGCCTAACTCAAGTCTGTTAGCTTTTGGAGATCTTTGTAAAGCTTTTGGACTTTTCCAAAGGGCCTCAGATCAGGGCTGAGGAAAGATACCTCAATTTTAGCTGAATGCAGTGTGTAGCTTTCTTATAGAGTGTGAATATTGGGGCTAGGAGGCCATGGATTGGCAGGTGGAATACTTTTTCTTGTATTCAGCAGCGTTTTTACTGGAGCCATCATTATTGAAAGAGCACTGTAATTGGAGGTGGAAGACTAGTTTAAGTGCTGGTATTACCTCTCTCCTCTGTTAAAGATAATGTCTCCTTTACTTGCCTCTCAGGGGTATTGTGATCTAGGATCAGGCTTTCCTAGGTTGACATTTTGATCTGCCAGTTCCTAGGTGTGTGACTTTGGGCAAGTTAATGTATCTTTAGCTTTATCGTTAGCTCATCTGTAACATGGTGACGTTAATTGTACTTCATAGGATTATGGTGAGGATTAAATGAGATGGTAAATATTAAGCTCTTGTCACAATACCCAGCTTTAACCAAATATTGGCACTTTCCTTAAACCGCTACTTTATTAAATCTGTTTCCTTCTTTCATGGTCAAGAGATGAACTTGCATCCTATTTTTCAAAGGAAATAGAGGCCATTCTTATGTGAGTTCTCTTTATTTCTCTTTCTTCCACAAAATTTGTATCACTATCCATTTTTGCCCTTTAGGAACGATCTTTCTGCCTCTCTGTTTGTTCCATTCTTCACTCAGATCTTCTCAGTCTTTGAACTGCCCCAGCTGAAAAACCACAGCCCTTTCTCCTTTTAAAATTGCTGTCTTTCCCTTTCTGTCAAGATTCTTGAAAAGGGTGAAAGAGTATCCTTACTTTGGTGTCTCTGTTGACTCTTTGAAAGAATAAGTCAATAACCTGCTTATAATCTCTGATTTCTGGGGGAATTCAACCCTATTGAACACCGTAGGCTTCCTTGACATCATACTCTTCTTGGTTCTCCTTCCTTGACTAATTAGTTGTGGCCACATTTTGTTGTTTCCTTTTCCTCTGACTGCCCCCTATGTGGGTGTTCCTCAGTGCTGCTTTTTTAGTTCTTTTCCCTTCCTGTTCTCCTTGTTTTCTATCTAATCCCACACCCTTCCTGTTGCTTTAGCTGCCACATAACACTAATGGTCTCCTCATCTAGATCTCCAGTAGTTTCCCTCTTTCCTAAATTCTAGATCTAGGTTTCCAGCTGTTTAGTGAATGTGCATACCTAAGTATCCCGTAGGTATCTCAGTCTCAACCTATCAAAAACCAAATTTATTACCCAGCTGTTTCTGCATTTCCCGTCTTAGTTAACAATATCATTATTGACTTAATTGCTCAAGCTATTGTCTTTAGAGTAGTTTTGACTCTTTCCTCTTTCTCACCCATCATATCCAGTTACCAGATCATGTTGAATCCTGCCTCTAAATCTGCCCTTTCTTTTCCATCTCTACAAGCCACCGCTCTAATTAAGGCCCAGACCACTGGAGTAGTCTTTCACTGGTCTGACTGTCTCTAGTCACTTTTTCCAATCCATACTCCTGATTGGCCCCAGTGTCATTTTTCTGTAACACAAATCTGATCATATAACTCCTTGCTTAAAATTCTCCAATGATTTTCTATTATTCCCAGTCTAAATTTTACTTTAATACGGCATTCAAAAGGAAGGTATCCTCTCCTTTCATACTCATCTCTGGTTTTCAGACCTAGTCACCAAATGACTTCATATCCTCTGGGTACTCCATGCTGTTTCCAGCTTCCGTGCCTTTTTATATTTTGTCTACTCTGCTTGGAACTCCCCTTTTACTTTGTCCCCATGGCAAACTTCTGCATATCCTTCTAGATCCATCTCAGGTGTCCCCTCTGTAATACTTCTTCGTTTTTGGACTTCCCTACCAAAGGTATATTCTTTTGTACATTTTATGGTATTAATCTCCTTGTTTCTGTTCCAGTAACCATCTTTTAGCCAGACTATGAGCTCCATGAGGGCCCTGTTCATATCTATTTCCTCTTTAGTAGCTGTATCAGTTTTTCACACATGGTAGGCTATTAATATTTTGTGTTGAATTAGTGACAGTTTAGTTTTTTGTTTAACAGTAAACCTTAAATGCCAACCATGATATTCATAGTGCTCATGTGGACCCTTTTTACTAATGTGTTTGGGAAAGTAGTATACCAATTCTTGGGCCTTATTTTACATTTTTTTTTTCTTTAAACCAGACTTATTTTGGATCTGGGCTATTCTCTCCTATTTCTGTATTGGGAGGTATGAGAAAATGGGGATATGACTCATTTATTTTAGCAGCATTAATAGTTTGTTGAGTTCTTAAGAGGGCTCTTCTTGGCTGCAGAGAAGGGCAGATTTTTCTCCAGGCCTCTGTAGTTAAGAACTGTGGTAGAAAAAGGATCTGATTCCTCCATCTTCAAAGTGGGAGGCTTCTTAGGTAGTGTAAAAAACTGGAGGATGTCACATATCACTCAATAAATGATTAAGTCCGAAGTTCCCAGCTGGTGTGCCATGCACCACAGGTATGCTACAAGTGGGTTAAAGGTGTGCTAAAACATTGATCCTTTGGGACCACGTGTAAGCTGCTTCATCCTTTTACTCTAGTGTGCTAAATACTTTTTAATGTGTAACTTGATGTTAAGAAGCACTGTGGTAAACAAATGGATGGGGCCAAGGTCTGTAATTTCATAAGGGTCTGGAGCAGAGTTAGAGCGAATATACAGAAGTGCAGAATCTTAGGGCTTAGATGCCTCCCAAGCTATAAAGAACTAATTTTTATGTTATTCCAAGTGATAGCATAGGTTTGGAAGTAATAGCAGGTTCAATCAATGCTAGGCTCATTGGGAGCAATCCAGCTTCTAAACAGTAGAACATTGGTTAGGTAAACTATGGTAAATAAGCCTAAAGAAATACTACCTAGCTACGTACAATTAAGTTCATGGATGTGGCATTATGTGAAATCTATGCACTGATTCCATCTAGGCAAAAGTGCATCTATAAATGACAAATATTTGAAATGAAATTATAAGAGGTTGGAATTTTTTCCCCATGAAAGCTGCTTAAGTATAAACATGTCAAGCTTAGAAAAGCTATCTTAAAGTAGTTGAGATTATTATTATTTTAAAAAATTTTTATTTTATCATAATTGATTATACATATTTTTGGGACTCAACGTTGACATATGTTGATCGAATCAATATTACTAGCATATATATTGTTACAAATTGTACTTATTCTTTATGCTCCTTGGCCAGTCTCTCCCCATGCTCTTCTCCCCGCCCCCCACCCCCAATTATCCTAGATTTCTTCTCTCCTTCTGAAAGAGTAATGGTTACTCTGTTGATTTGTTGTCTACATAATCTGTCCAGTGCTGAGAGGTGTGTTCAGGTCTCTCAATATTATCATGGAGCAAATGCTTCTTCTGTCACTCTAGAATGGGCTTTGTGGAGAGAGACATCCTCTTCTTTTCTTTGGTGACTCTCCTTGTGACGATGCACTCCAGTGGCTGGTGACTCTCCTTGTGACGATGCACTCCAGTGGCTGGTGACTCTCCTTGTGACGATGCACTCCAGTGGCTGGTGGACCATCTGCATGGTGGTTGTGACATCTAGCCGCTTTTGCGGCAGCCGTGGTTATTGTGGTGGCTGTGGTGGGCCACCCACCTGGAGGTGATGTTTTTGGCATGCTCCTTGGTGCTGGCAGTGTGCCTGGTGGGGTGGGGGGGTCTGGTTCCTGGATCCATGCCTCAGGACCCCGAGCAGGCCCCGAGGCGCTGGTGGTATGCCTGGGCCAGAACTATTTTTTTGTCCTTTGCTTACTTCTGAAATGGGGGAACTTCCATGTGGGTATCAGTACTTGAGCTGTGTGGTTTACCTAAATTGCTGCTTTGCTGCTGATTCCATAGAGAAGGCTTTTTGTGGAGTTCAGGTTTTAATGGTTGACTTTATAGGTACTTCTGGCTCTCCAGAGACCCAGTGCACCTGGGTTGTGTAGAAACTCTGATCTGGGCCTGAGTCTTTTCATCAAACTGCATCCCCTGCAATTCTGTGTTCCTGACCAGTCTCCTCTGAGTGGTCCTACGCTGATTGGGAGGCAGATCAGCTGTCCTTGGTGGGCCCGTCTCTCCCACTGCTCGTGTTGCAAACACTTCCCATGGGATGGACCATGTGCTGGTCCCTTGCAATGACTCACTGGCCTCTGAGTGGCTCCTTTTTTTCAGTTGTTCTGGCTCCTCGCTCCAGTGTGGGTCCATGGGAACCCTGTTAGTGGTCTTGCTGGCCTGGGGGCCACCAAGTCCCTCTTCTCCCCTGCTGCCTCCGAGCAACTTCATCCAAAGGGCACAAGTGTGGCTTTTGCCAGCTCTTGGTCCGTGCGCTGAGCAGCTCCAAGCCTTAAAGTGGCTGTGGCATGAAATGGTTGGGGTGGTTTTTTCTTTTTCTCATCATGGCTTCTCCTGCCTTTATGAACTCTGTAGGTCTCTCCTTCTCTTCCCCTGAGCTCTAGTGGCCCCAGCTTGGCTGTTGTTACTTTTTTAGAGTTGTAAATTGGTTGATTTGTGGGAGAGAGTGACGCTGGGGACTGTCTATTCCGCTATCTTGACCGGAAGCCCCCAGTAGTTGATATTATTAAAACAGGTCATTCAGGCAGTCTAGGGATGTGCGGGTAAACTCCCTCACCTGTGAAGGTGATATCATGGAGGGTAAACATGGCTTTTTCCAGTGGCTCCAACAGATAGCAGGAGTAGAATAGTGGTGAGAAGCATGGGAGAAAGATGGTACACTATGTGGTTTTTAGAATTCCCTTTGAGTTGGCTGTAACTCCTTTGGGAATTTATATTGGCAATATGACAATACAACATTGGGCTTGGAGGCCAAAGACCTGGGTTCTAATTTCAGATCTCAATAGCTGGCTGTGACTTTGGGCAGGTCCTTCATCCTTTTCTGACCTCATCAATAAGTTTATGTGTTGGGTAGATTTCTAAGACCCTTCCCAGCTCTGATCTTTAATGGGTTTTATTTTATATGGTTCTTACTGCTTTCTTTTTATTGCTCAGGTATTATTCACGCAGCAGAGGAGAAGGACTGGAAAACTGCGTATTCATACTTCTATGAGGCATTTGAGGGTTATGACTCCATTGATAGCCCCAAGGCCATCACATCTCTGAAGTACATGTTGCTGTGCAAAATCATGCTCAACACGTAGGTGTACATTAACTCTGGAATATAAGAATTCAAGTCCTTCAGCTAAGTCTGTCTGCCTTGGGTAGCAGTAGCTGCAGCTTCTTGGGCTGGTTGAGGTAGCGTGGGAGGATCAAAGGTATTCAGAGCACTGTGGCTTGGTAGTCTTTCAGAATCAGGGGGAGAGATTTTAGAAATCTGCTCAGCCCCTTGTGGAGAACTCGAATCCTTCAGATACTCTCTCATCATAGATGCTGAGCACAGGTCAGAGGATCAGGAAATAACTTATACAGACTGGCACTAGCCAACTGGGTGACCTAGAATGGGGGAGGGAAGGGTTAAGGAAAGGTTTGAAAAAGTGGATAACAAAAAGTATGACAGATCTTCTTATAAAGAAGTCTACAAAAGTATCCAAATTCTTTTGGGAATAAATGAAATACTGACTGGGACTCTTGAATCTTGGATTACACAGGGGTTGTGTTTCATTAAGACCAATTATAATGGGATTTGACTTCTACTTATCATCCTGTCTATTGGGTCTATTGCTTTTGGTAGGTTCAGTTTGGCTTTCTTTTTAACGTTGGAATTTTTCTACTCTTTAGTACTGAGCGTTGGCCCAGAGTGGAGAAAACCTAGTTCTCCAACTTGAGGGGCACATTGGTAGGTTCAGTTTGGCTTTCTTTTTAACGTTGGAATTTTTCTACTCTTTAGTACTGAGCATTGGCCCAGAGTGGAGAAAACCTAGTTCTCCAACTTGAGGGGCACGTGGGTTTAGGGGTTGGGGCTTATTATCTCTGTGGGCAGTCTTCACGGTGGAATTCTGGTAAAACCAGATTCACTTAAACCTGTGCTTAGAAACATAACATCCTGGAGCAGTTGACGAACTATGTTTTTTTCTAGCCCAGAAGATGTCCAGGCTTTGGTGAGCGGAAAGCTTGCACTTCGATATGCAGGGAGGCAGGTAAGGAATACCTCGACTGTAGTTCTGCTCACTTTGAGACCAGCATGTTGTAAGAGGCACAAAGTTCAGTGAAACAAGTGCTTTTCAGGTCTCCATTCAACTCTTTTCCTTCTCCCCACTGCTTCCTTCCCTTAATCCCATTCAGTGTGTTTCCTCTACTGTTGAGTTCCTGGCCTAGAAAGTCACTATTTGGTGCTCTTAGGGACATCAGATAGTCTGAGAGACTTACAGAACTGAACTGTAGCACTTGTGGTGAGTTAGGCCGCATTTAGCTTTGACCAGAAGATTTATCTACCATGAGCCTGACTTGCAAATTTAACAAGTGCAGAACGTGAAATCTTGGATTCTTTGAGTCAGGATCTGGTGTATAAGTGCTTTAGGGAGGTGAAATTGCATGATGCAGAAACTAGGTTTTGAGACTTGCCCAAGTGCTTCTCAGATCAGTACCTTTCCATTCATACCTTGAATTTTGAGTATGGTACACAAAGAGGCCCTTTTTGTGGTAACTTAATGCCTGAGTGGGTATGAGTGTGACTTCTGAGAGCGAACAGTTGTGATCTGTGTAAAGATGATGTCTCAGATGTCTGGATCATTCCTTCTCAGTACTTTGCTTGATTATCACTAGTAAAGTAAAAGTAATCTGTCTGGATTTCAGATACAGTTGTCTCTAAACCGTAGACAGATGGGCTATCTCACTATATCTCTGGAAGAATGGCCACAACAGGTGATTTCTTCTTTCTCTCTAAGTGGCCCTAATTGGCTTTTCATCAGCAAAAGTTTTAGCTCAGCTCCTAGTTTTGCCTTGTAGAATACTGGTTATTACTGTAGTGAAAGCTGTACTACTTTCATTAGAACTAGAGTTTAGGAGATAGGCTCAGAGAGGTCAAGTGTCCAGGACAAGGTCGGGTAGAATAAATAGTGGAGCCAGACATTGAGCTTGGCTCTAAGTTCCAGGCTTTTCTCATTATGACATCTGTTTTGTCTATAGGACAAATTCTGAAGGCAAACTACATTCATGATTAGCTTTGCACCATTTAGTCTGTTGTATAAGACACATCATCCTTCTTTAAGTATGGAGGCCGATACAAGAGGAGCTCCTTCCTTTGTACCTTGATGACAGCTTTCAAGCAGGAGTCAGGCTGATGAGTGAAGGATCAGTGCTGCAGATTTATTGCTGAGTGGAGACTTGATAGCTTGGGCAGTTTATAACCATGTTAGAAGTTGCCTTCAACCATTGATTGTACCTTTATCACTCTGGGATTTTAACATTCCATGTAATCTGTAGAATTTTGATGCCTCAACCCTAATGAAAGTAGACCTTGTTCAATGCCTTGCACCAAACCTAGCAGGATGAATCTTGATACAGCGCAGGTATAATCAGGTCTAAGGAAAGAGTTTGGGTGTGTATGGAGAGATAAGTCTTAGAGGAAAGGGAAAGAAATCACAGTTCTCTTGTCATTTTACCATTTAGCTTGTCATCTTTAGAGAATGCTATATTAGGATTTTTTTTGGAAAACCTTCTGTTTTCTAGTTCTCTTGTCATTTTACCATTTAGCTTGTCATCTTTAGAGAATGCTATATTAGGATTTTTTTGGAAAACCTTCTGTTTTCTAGCATTTTTTTTTTTCCTTTTTGTCTTTTTTCGTGACCGGCAACGGATCGCAACCCTCAGTGTTGCGCCCGGACCGGACCGGGACCGGCAACGGGATCGCAACCCTCGGTGTTGCGCCCGCACCTCGCTCAGCCAGTGAGTGGCCGGTCTGTATGTGGGATCCGAACCCTTGGCGGGAGCGCCGCCGCGTTCCCAAGCGGCGCACTGTAGCAGTGCGCCACCGGGCTGGCCCACATTTTTAAGTTACTTAAGATTTCAGAGGGAAACTGGTTGGCCTACATTGGTATACTTCTAGCTTTTCCTCTCAGGCCTCTGAAGAAGATGGTGGGGCGGGTTCTTCCCTGTAGCAGAAGTCATGTGGACAGAGCAAACTGCTAATGAGACTTTTTGGGTCGATGTGAGTGTGCAGAATAGATCACTTTCATGATTTGTCTCTTTCTTCTCAGACAGAAGCATTAAAATGCGTGGCTCAGGCTAGCAAGAACAGATCACTGGCAGATTTTGAAAAGGTGAGCATGATATTGGGTTGGTAGGGAATGGGTAGAGGAGAGGGACATTTAAGTACTTAAAAAAAAAACTTTAAAAAATAATTATAGTTTTACAAGGAGTTGTAAAGATAGTTCCATGATCCCACATACACTTTAGCCAGTACAGTATCAAAACCAGGAAATAGTTAAGCACTTTTGTGCAACGCAATTTGTTGAATTGATGGTATAAATTATATATGTTATTTATATAGGAGGATACCTTAAAAAGTTTGTGGAAAAACAGAATTAGAAGATAATATAAATCTTTTTGTGAACTTTTTGAAGTACCCTCATACAATATCTTTGAGTTTCAAAAACTTCTTTCTGTCATCCTTTTTTCATTTTGACTTTCCACGACTGTCCTATATTATCTCCATTCTATGGTTGAGGGAACAGGGATTCAGGAGGATGGCCAAAGTCACACAGCTAAGTGTCAGGGTTTGACTCCAAGCCCAGTGCTTGTTCTACACAGCACAATATTCCTTCAACTCCAGAAATGCCAGGTCTGCTTCTCTGGACAAAAGAGAAGGCTTGATGTGATATTTGGACTGAAAGAAAGTTCCCCAGGATGATGTTCTGGCTTCTTTGACTCCTATGCCTTTTGCTCATGGTTTGGGAAATTTCAAAAAAGGAGAAAAACTTGTCTAAGCCTTAGGGTAAGACTTGTATATTCTTTTCTGAACCTCCCTCTTCTTAGTCTGTATATAATAATCAACTTAATAAAAGCAAAACCTAGATCCAGAAAGAAAAACTTAGTGTGGATGGAGACTTGACTGTGTGGCTTTGTTCTCAAGACTCATCATCTTCCTGGAGGGTTGTTATCAATTCCTGTTGTTCCTCACTTGGCATGATTTACATGCTTCCTTTAATATGTCATGGCACAACTGACATGAGGCTAGGATATTGAGACCATTACTAAAGATAAATAAATCACATAAATGAGTAAACAGTCTAGATCGTTTTATTGCAGTGTTTGGGATGTTTGATGGAATACTTCTATTCTGTGTGGTTCCTTGGAAAAAGGGTTCTGTGATCAGATATTTGAAACAAAATTAGAAAGGTATTTTTAATTACAGAGCCATACTATACTGATGTTCTTCTTAAAACTCCCAACAGCTAGTTGTGGAATTCAGTATTTCCCATTAATTAAATTCAGTATTCTCCCCACCCGTCCCCATGGAGACCCTGTTTGGTGGAACACATGCTGAGAAATGCTTGTGTAGGTAATTTGGCTCGCAAGCTGAGTTGCTTTTGGGTCTTATGTGTTTTGAGCTGTTGATGTGAGGCTTTTGGACAGAAAGATGGTGCCTAGGGTGGCTTCACCATACAGTTCTTGATGTTCTTTTTCTTCTGTTATCTGTCATGGGTTTTATTTTATCTCCCCAAATCTTCTAGAATTTCATTCAACCATGAAGTTATAAGGGCCAGCAGACTACTTAGGAACCTAGGAGTAGCATGACTTCGAAGTGCTTCTCTGTGCCAATCTCTGTGACTGGATCTTTTGGCAGGCCCTGACAGATTACCGGGCAGAGCTCCGGGATGACCCAATCATCAGCACACACTTGGCCAAGTTGTATGACAACTTACTGGAACAGAATCTGATCCGAGTCATTGAGCCTTTTTCCCGAGTACAGGTAAGAACCTTCCTGGGGACTCTAGCTGTTTCTGACTAGGCATCTTTGTTATACTTCCTCCCTTCCCACTCCTGTCCAAAATAGGAACTTACTTCCAAGGGTGTGCCTGGTGGGCAAGAGGCTATCAAGAGCTTGGGCTTCTCTTGATAGGGAACAAGAGTTGCGGAGAGAAGGATGCTATGGGGTAGAGGCTTGTGAGATTGCACCCTGTTTGTGTCCTAAGTGCAGGCTCCCCCTTGCTTTTGTAGTCACTATGTACGTGGTAAATGTTTTCCATATTGGGTGTTTGGGAGAGGAGTGTGCTTATTGTGTGTGTAGTGATGAAGGGCAGACAGATGGACAGAATACAAGAGACCTAAGCATGGCCAAGGAGAATCTTGCCCTATAGAGATGTTCAGCAGGATTTCAAGAGATATAGCAACCCCCCAACCCCCACCTTCACCATCCCCCCTTTTACTTTTGTTTGGAGGCAAAAGTAAAACTTTCAGTGTTGATGTCTCTTTGCCTTTCCTTTTAGATTGAACACATATCTAGTCTCATCAAACTCTCCAAGGTAAGGAGTCCTGAGGCAGTCGTGGGGGTAGGGATGGGAGAAAGGGTGGTGCAGAGGGGCTGGCATTTATTTGCACCTAGTGGACCTTATTAGAAAGCTTCCAGACTTCTCAGTGGAGAATGGGGAACATGGGCTCAGAGCTAGAGATGCATTATTGCTGTTTTGTTTTTAATTCGTTTGTCCTAAGACCCTTTCTATAAAGCTTTCATGGCAGGGTGATCTCTGACTAGTGGATACTGGTCCCTTTAATCATGTGCTTTGATTTTAGGCTGATGTGGAAAGAAAATTATCACAGATGATTCTTGACAAGAAATTTCATGGTGAGTGACAGTCACACAGGCAAGGGGGCTGGTGGTGGAGACAAGATGGTTGAAGAGGTTTATCTTTAAAGAAGATGTTCTATTTCTTTCTCCTGATGGTTCCCTGGAATCCTTGCCCCTCTTCCCCATATGAGTGTTTAATAAACTTGCAAATGGAACAGGGAAACCAGTTCTATTTCTCTTCTTTTCTGGAGAAAGTGAGGCAGCTAGGGAGCGGGCTGCTTCACAAATGCTTTTGTGTCTAATCTCTTTTTTTCACCTGGGTTGCCCTTCTGTTTCCTGCAGGGATTTTGGACCAGGGGGAGGGTGTCCTGATTATTTTTGATGAACCCCCAGTAGATAAAACTTATGAAGCTGCTCTGGAAACAATTCAGAACATGAGTAAAGTAGTGGATTCTCTGTACAACAAAGCCAAGAAACTGACATAGGTGAGTGCTGGCCCCAGGACCCAGGGCCAGGCAGTGCTGACTTTTGCCTGTCGAGACTGAAAGCTCCTCCTGGTGTCCTCACGGCTTCCTGATTGACACTGCTCTGTCTTCTCTTGCAGAGTTGGATCTGTAGCGGTCCTTTGGAGAGTGTGTGTGGCGGGAGAGTGAAACCTTGGGGGAAAATGCTAGGAGATTCTTTTTTCTTTTTGTTCTACTTTTCGCTCGGAAAGTTTTTAAATCCTCATTTGGTGCATCTGTATTCCAGCCGATAGGTGTGCCAGTTTTCATGTAATCTTTACTGGCCCAACTTGGGAGTGGGGAAATTGCTTAAAAAAAAGAAAAAGGAAAAAAAAAAGATTATTCTAAATAAAAGGAAAAAGGCTTACACTACCTAAAGCTGTGCTCTCTGCCTCCTGGGAGAGGGCCACAAAGCCAGGCACCCCGCCAGCCACTGGGGGTCCTAATCTACCTGCTGGGTGTCACCTCTCCTCTTCAGAATTGGGTGTTTGCTGACCATCAAAAGCAATGACTTTTTATTCTGTTTGTACTGAACCAAAACAAACTGTGTGTAGACTGCTGTTTTCTTTTTTATTTGAAATGAGACATTTCGGTGTTCTTTCCCCTGCCATATGGCCTGTCCACCCTTCCCTTCTCCCAACATTGGCTCCAGCAAACTAGCCGAAGGTCCCGCCGCCGCCACCACAGCAGCAGCAGCAGCAGCAGCAGCAGCAGCACCTGCAGCACCTGCACGGCTCCACTCTGATGTGTGAAGGAATGGGGACAAAGCCAGGAGCTAGTGTCCACCACGGCCACACGGGGAGCAGTGTGGGCCCTTAGCCCCCAGGGGGCCTGCTGTGCATGTGGCTTTTTTTTAACACAGTAAACTAGATTAGACGTCAGTGTTTTAATTGCTCCTCTCCTTTCCTCTCTCCTCCTCTCCCTGCCTCTCCCTTCTCACCTCCCCCCCCCCCCCCCCCCCCCCCCCCCCCCCCCCCCCCCCCCCCCCCCCCCCCCCCCCCCCCC